AAAAAAAAAAAAAATCCTTTTAAATTTCAAGAAAAAAATAAAAATAAATTAGAAACCATGAGTCCAAATGTACCCTTTAAGGGAAATTTAAGCCCTTTAGTCACTGTTTTTACCTCCCAAGCCCCCCCCTGGATGACCCATCAGCACAGCCGAAGTTAAGACCGGATTCTTACTGCTTAGGCCAAGCGCACTCCTGGCCTGAAAGGCTGAAAGTCTTTTTCTTTTTCTTTTTTGGGATCCATGCCTCTTGTTTGCCCCGTCTGGTTTTGCCGGGCGACCCCCCCTCTGCCCAACTGGCCTTGGGCGTGCCTGGCCCGGCGACGGGCCAACATAGGACTCTTAACTAATTTCAAACGACGAGGATTTTCCGAGCTGAAGCCGAGGAGAGACAGAATGAAGACACATATGAGGTAACGAGTCTGGATTCGGACGAGACTCCGAGAAAGGGCCTCGCTGCACTACTCTCCCCATGCACAACAGACAGACAAAAAATACGGCGGTGCATCTTTGCATGTTGTAGCGGAAGATTCATTCTCATTTCTGCACATTTGGAGAGTAATGCAGCGAGGACCAAAGACTCAGTTCGAGAAGGAGAGAGTAAAGACTCGATTCAAACCGAAGAAACATAATACTAAGGACGTCGTGGAAGATAAGATAGACTGAGAATAATGTCAGAACACAGAGAAATTCAGAATCATGAAAATATGCAACATATGAATGATATCGTACAGAAATATCTGGTTGCGGTCTGCCTCGTCAGTCCTAATGGAACCGCCAGATAAGAAACGTTGCCTGCTAGCTGACTCGCAAACCTTGAGACCTTGTACTGGAAGTGTGGTGACTTTTGCTCTCTCTTACTTCCCGACCGACCGAACCATTGCAGATCAACTAGAGCCAGCTCCGACGGGCGGGACGTGTGATCCTTTCACAACGTGACGATGGCCATCGAAGAAGCCCGTCGAGTACTCGAGATGTCCCTCCGTTGAGACGAACCCCGGGTATGGACCGAGTGGTGTACTTGTCCGTTCCCATCCACCATCCTCAATTCCCTTCACGTCGTTCGTTTCCGATAATCCAACCGTACGGGAGTCTGCCAGTTCTAAGATCCCTTCATGCTCTGCTTCTGTCATGACCCTGCAGGCACCCCCACCCACACACACACACACACCTGTCTCTTATACACATCTAGATGTGTATAAGAGACAGCTCCTGTAGTGGCCCGTACGTTTCTTAAAATCG